TTCCATTTCGATGTGAATATTTTTCTTTTTACTTTATCAACTGGCAAATGTAATTTGACATGGACGAAAAAAGCAGTGCTGCCAAATTTTTTTCAAACATTGTAACCGGTTCGCCTGAATACCAGAATACCAAATTCAATTTTGGATGTTAAAGAAAAGTAACAAAATTTACTTTACCGGTAACAGTGAGAATAGGTTTGATAGACTTACAATATCTAAGTTGGCGAAGTTTTTTTGCAAAAGGAATCAAAAATTAAAACAGGACATTGACCTTTGTAGAACTTGTACTTAAAATACATCTATCATATAACTAAACCTGAAATGGCTGTACACAAAAAACATTATGGATATTAATAGTTTCATTTTGAGAAAAGTATCAGGAATTGACAGGGAAAAAACAAAAAAATTGGTTTTGAATGATGTTCGTTGAATTTCGTGACCAGAATTTCCTTCATAATGATAACCTTATCAGTTGGCGGGTTATCGTGATGAAAATTCAATTAGTTTTTCTTCTACAAATCGTACTTTTTTTCGAAGATTTTGAATCTTGAAGTACACAATACCTTGATAAATAAATGAAAAATACCAACATTACCTTGACTATTGATTAACTTTGACGCAGTAATTTCGGTGCTGATTCAGTTGGAGAAAACCGGTTCGAAGCATGTTGCCTGTTTTGCATTGAAACCCTATATCTTGTGTTATCAACACTTATAATGGGTTCAATGAATGTGGGGTCGGAACTAGTTCATTCTAGCATATAAAGGGTGAGTTTTTAATAGCTTTAGGAGTGTTTAAAAAAAAAAACGATAAAATTCAGAAAAATGCATGAAATCTTTTTTGAATCGATAGTATGATACATATAATTTAATGTTTGATTATTACTTCATGCAAATGTTGACCGCTTAGTCTAATTTTGGTCGGTATCACACATATTTTGCTTCAATTTTGTCCCCCAATGCGTCAATTTAAGTGGGCTTGTCTGTATAGACATGAGCTTTAACATAGCCCAAAAAAAAAAAATGGAAAAAAGGCGGCCAATTGACCGGTGCCGAACGTGAAATAAAATGTTCACTGAACTCGCCTCTTAATAAGTGCTGTGTGGCATGTGGCACCGTCTTGTTGAAACCACATGTCATGCAAGTCAAGCTCTTGCATTTTGGATAAAAAAAAAGTTCGATATCATCTCACGGTAACGCTCACCATTCACAGTTACGTTACGATATGCATCATCTTTGAAGAAGTACCGTCCAATGATGCCACCAGCTCATACACCGTACTAAACTGAGACTTTTTCCGAATGCCTTGGTAGCTCTTGCAATGCTTCTGGCTGATCTTCACTCCAAAATCGACAATTCTGCTTATTTACGCAACCATTAAGCCAAAAATGAGATTCGAAGCGCTCGCGGAAGAAGCGCGCGTTGAAATTTCTTAACGGTTACACTCATTTTGATAATAAAACCCAATTCAACTGCAAGCGTTGTTCATTTGTAAGACGATTCATGGTTAACTTATAGACCAAACTGAAGATGTTTCTTTGGCAGTGATGCAAAACACAAAGCGTGCGTCAGCTGTTTAAACCAGTGTTGCCAAAAAGATAATAGCGAAAAAATCACCCTTTATGTGTCGGAGATAGAAAAGGATAAATAACGATATCTCTATGACACTTGGTTATTATTGTAATTCTTGGAGCTGTTTTAATATTATTTAGCTATTGGTTTTTATCTAGATCACTGTTATCCCAATGAAGTTAGGCGCTCCGCTCTTTAAGTTCCCTTACTAGGATATTTCGCCAAAAGGATGTATACTCTTTTGCTGTTGCTCTCTGTTAAGTAGAAAATGAGTTTATTCAAATTTTCTAAGAAGGTTGATCGCATTCTATAGCTACATACAAGTAGATGTATATACAAGCATGTGTATGTATTTATGTTTTCGAAGGATATTAAATACTTGCTTCTGGGGGCTGATAAAATATGAGTGAATATGCATACACTCACAGACACACAGTTACTCAGCAGGGAAAACAATCGCGACGATCTTGGTACTAATAGCACAACGAGAAATATTTATTCCAGCCAAATCTAGAAGCAAGCTACATGTGATACTCGCACCATCTGCATATACATACATATGTATGTGTTCTACAATACATGCATACGTGTATGTACAACATAAGATTGGGGTAGATTTGACAAAGGTCTTGAAGAGATTTCCTTCCACCTATACATATAGAATTGCCTATATATATGTATATGTAAACATGCATATTTCCGTATGAGCGCAATCTTGAGTACCTGCATGTACATATGTGACTGCGAATACACAAATATCTGTACATACACGTACAAGAACCTTATTCTGGCAGGGGGTCTGCAACACCGACATGTGCATACGAATAAATCAGTCTAAGCAGCAGTGTGCGCGTGAATACCAAAAATATCCTTAGAATCGTAAATATTTCATACGCGCTAGTTCTGCTTCGCGTTCGATTTCTTAACTTTGAAATTATTATTATTGTTTTAATTTTTTTTTTTTTGTTGCAAAAATGTTGGACAAAATAATTTTCGATATTAAAAACACATTTAGTGGTTTAAAAAAATATCGTAAATGTGTACAAACTGAATGTGATGCTGTTGATGGTTCTCAATGGATGTTTCCGCGCGTTTATCGGCCTACAACAACAACGGCGACAAAATTCATAGAATTCTCAAAGCTAAATACATATGTACAGACAGAATATCTTGTGGATATATTAGACAAGTTTTCAAGAGTAACAGATCCGAATGTGCCTGAATGTAACCGTTATAGTGTAAGTTGAGCAAATAATCTGTTATTGAATTATTCAATTCGATCAACACACTCCTGATGATGTTAATAAGGATTATATTTATTTATTTTTCAACATATTCAACAATAAAAGAAATATATTCAAAATGTGCGATTCATACTCATCAGATTTTTCAGGCGTCGAAAAATGTTGACCTCACAATTTATTATTCAGATTTAAGGAAACAAGAATGATTTATTGAAAACGGCTCTTAAATCCTTTACAGATGAAGGCGATCGTCTTCATAACTATAGCAGTTTCCATCGAATAAGAGCTCTTCAGAGTTTGTATGACGCTTAGACTATAGTAAGCTGTTACAGACCTTAATTGGTATGGTCACCCCTTACGCTGTTACGGCTTGTGTGTCATTTCTTTTTTTAACTGTTCGGTAATATCAAGTTAAGCTAGGTCCTTTTCCACATGATCTTTCCAACCAAATGGATTGGTTGCTTCTCTTTCTCTGCTCCAACTGTCCGGCACATTATCGAAAAGTTCTAGAGCTTAAGTTTTTCACCCGTCCGAACGCCATGGCTTTCTACTGCCGTCGATATCCCTTGATACGCCGAACTATATCAATCTCACATAGCTCGTCGTTTCCTCGTCTCCGGGTATTCGTTATTGCCAATGCACAAAGGACCTTAAATCGTTTGCAGAACTTTTCTCTCGAAGACTCCCAAGGCAGACTCACCGTGTGTCGACATCGTCCACGTTTCCGCACCAATAGCAGGAAACTTTTGTTCGTCTACTCAGTCCAAAGTAGCACCCGTTTGCAAGAGTGATTCTGAGTTGGATTTCCGGATGATATTGTCATTGCGTTTGATGTTGGTGCCAAAAAATTATCTACGACTTCAAAGTTATGACAGCCAACAGTGATGTCGAAGCCGTGCTGCAAATGCGTTGACTGCTTGTTTGATTTTTGGATATATTTCGATATTTCGTCTTGACCTCGTTCGCTACCAGGCTCATATGCTTTGTTTCTTTATCCAGTCTGGATAAAGTAGTATTCACGACGCGGTTGTTGAGGCCGAGCCAAACACTCTTATATTGTAGAAGCTGGTACCATCACTATTTACCTCTGCAGCTCGTCTGAAACCACTTTTGGTATCGAACAGCACGGAGATGTCATTCCAGGTCTTAATAGAGCTTTTGGTGTTGCTTAACGTAAGTTTATACGGCCACATAAGATGTGGTTCTTTTTCGTGCTGTCGAAGCTGGCATTTAATTCCTTGTCTCTCAAGTCTTTTCCAAGGTCTGACGCGAGCTAAAAATCTGGTCACTGGTAGATTTTCTAGACCTACAGTAACACTGATATAATCCAAACGATTCGTTGGCGGTCGGCTCTGGTGTTTCCGAATGTTTATCTCACGATAATTGACGCAGATTGCGTAGCCCCATTTTCATGCATGGGACGGAGTACACTCGGCTTCCAATCGCCAAGCATCCGACCAAATTTTGCTAAGAAGCTGATGCGAGCACTGTGCGGACACTGCGCTACATTTTTGAGTAGGTTGGCCAGTAAGCCTCCGACATCCGCGGGTTTGTTCCTCTTCAGATGGCAAATGGCTTTGAATACTATATGTATATACTATGTATATTATAGTCGGTCTTCTACTTCATCTACATCGATTGGAAATTCAGATTCGCCATCTCCTGATGTGCCATTTCGATTGTGATTCAGCTGGCTGGAGAATTGTTTCCTCCATAAATTCAGCATGATCTGAGTATCAGTCGCTAGAAGACCTCTTTGGTATGCTCATATTTTGATTGGGTTTTCAAGCATCAACACTGCCGGCCAGCTTTTCAAGCTCTTCATATTCACACATTCCGTTCTTTGACTTTCTCTGTCTCGGCCACATATTTAATTCTGCGTCTCTAGACGCACTGCGATCGATCGAAACGTTGAGAGGTAGGCAGTTTATTTTCTCTCCATAGCCATAAAATGAATCTCTTTATATCAGCTCTTCTTTCTACCTGGTCGAAACCCAATAGTTTCGTTGGCGACTGTACGAGTATGTAAGGAGCTTGAAATGTCGCTGCACAGTTCTCTTATGAAATTAAATATCGTTAGCTAATTTTTGTTAATTTAAAAGTAGAGTCTTTATTTCTATTAAAAAATATGCTTGATGATTTTTAACTAACATTTATATTTTCAAAATTATTATTTCGTTTTCAGCGTCGCAATGATCGCGAAGAGATACGACGACGGTTAGCCATGGGCTCGGAGGAAACTAGTCATGATACAAAAGACCGAAATGCCTGGAAGTCGGGTATACAGTCAAGACTAGCAAGTAAGAAAGTTGCACCTACACTTATACTATCTACCTAATCAAATTATATTTCAAATACCTAAACGTTCTACCTTTCAGGTGCGCAGCTGGGTCGACTAAATGATCCCTCGTCAGATACGGAAAGTCATAGTTCGGACTCAGAGACGTGCCCGAAACTATCCAAAACCAAGCATGTCGATAATGTGAGTAAAATAAAATAAAATAAAAGACGTGCCCGAAACTATCCAAAACCAAGCATGTCGATAATGTGAGTGCCCTTAGCATTTCTTTGGCCGATAAACCCACCTATCCATATGTTGGTGGCTCACGAGCCTCGATTTCATCATATAACTCCGTTGCAGCGGTTAATAAATATCCACAGGACAAGCAGCAGAATTTCCAAAAGACCTTGTCTGCATTTAGCAGTGAAGATATGGAATGTGATTTCTTTACCAAACAAGCTAAGCTACAGATTGAAGCGCGCATGGCGTTGGCACAAGCCAAGGAGATGGCACACATGCAGATGGAGGTTAGTTTGGAGACTTAATTTATAATCGGAGACAATTACTTTATTATTTTATTATTATTATTATATTTTGTTTCAAAGATTGAACGCCAGAATCGTCGGGTATCACCAATTACCGATATCATTCGTGTGTCGTTGCGTAAGGTGGGCGTACAAATGACTGGCGATAAACGGCGGGTGTCACGTCAAATGCTTACCGATATGAATATAGCTCAGCTGCAAGTGCTCGTCAACAGTTTGCATACCCACATCGAGGAGTTAAATGAGTCACTAGTGCATAACTTAATGGAAAGAGATGATCTCCACGTGTCACAAGATTCCATGTTGGTGGATATTGAAGAGCTAACAAGATATATGTAAGTGAAACTAGATCACCCAATNCGTATATATTTACTTAAATAGATTTCTTATGTTTTACAGTGGAGCCAACGAACATCTGGCACAACGGTATAAGAATAGAAACTCCGATCCGTACAATCACAACTAAAGCCATATATTGAGGAATTCATAACTGTATACTATTCGAGTGAAAGCTGCGAAGAAACTTAAATGAAAATACACGGAATGCAAAATAGTAAAAGATTACTAAATTAAAGTTATATTTAATATATACCTATTATAGTTACATACACTCATACCAACATATAAAAGATGAATAAATAAATAAAAAAAATACTCACAAAATTATATTGTATTATAAATGAACAAATATATTACCTAAGTATATTTCAAATAAATTGAAAAAAGTTTAAGGTTCAGAGTTGATATTTGAATTAACGTAAAACAATTTATATTAGTTACACCAACATTCCATACAACATTGCAAACTTCGTATACCACAAAAAAAAATCACACACAAATAACTTACAAAGCATACATAACATTATTTTTCATAAATTATTTTCAACACTTCACATTCTTAAATATTTATAAATTAGATTGTGGAAGTACATAAATCTAAATATACAACATACATACATATGCTACATATCTTTAATAAATTCTTGTTAATCAATCTTAAAGGAATTTCTCAAATACTAAACACAATAACAGTTAAAATGAAATTTAAATAAAATAAACTACTAAAATGTAAAATTAATGAAATATGAAAATGTATAAAATTCATTCAGACAAATACTAACTCCTGCATTAATGTTATGTAAGCCAACCTTCATACATTCATACATACATATATACATATATACATACAAAATTCACTTAATTTCGCAATATGATAAAGAAATAAATAAAACAATAAATAAATAAATAATTACACACAATTTATTGAAGAATTTTGTTTATTCATACCGAAATCGAAGAAAGGAAGTTCATAATATTCGAATGGCTACAGGCCCAAAGGTCTAACTTTATTGTTTCTGAAGACACTTGAAACAGTTTTGGATGCATAGCAGCATAGATCCATTGAGAGTGCACATTATTCACTCATTTATAAAAACTCTCTCGAGGGTCTATGAAGGGTTTTCTTGGCAAAAAAATAGTGCGTTCAACAATGTCAATCGCGAATAGTCTTAAATGAGTTAGGTTAGGTAGTCTACATAAGGTAAACGTGGAATGGAACAAAGCTGGAATTATCAGGCTAGATTGTAGAGGCGATCCTTAGGAGGTGCATAGTCACTGATAGCTGGCTTTACTGGCACGCACGAAGATATTAGGTGCTCTTCCATGCCTATCGACTGAACTCATGGCGCCCAGTGCTACTAAAGAAATTATGCCGAAAACCATTGGAAAATATACAGCGACTTACAGCTGTCTATATAGCGGGGTAGCGGTAAAAAGGTATTAAGATACACTAAAGCAAGTTTGGCGGCAGCGGTAGCCGAGTGTTCAGCGTTGAGTGCTGCCATTCGAACGGCGCGGGTTCAAAACCTGGTGTCGAGCTAACACCCAAAAACGTATAGAAAATCTATTTAAATGAAAAATTTAACTAAATTTTCTAATTACGTTCGCCCCTTTGGCAGGGAATGTCAACCGCTCCGAGTGTAATTTTGACATGAAATGAAGGCTCCTCATAAAGAAAAACTCATCAGCCGTTCGGAGGCGGCTTAATATAAACTATAGGTCCCTGCATTTGTTGCAAGAACATCAAGGCGCAAAACTACAAATTGGATGAGGAGCTCGGCGCTTAATCGCTTAAGCGGTTACAAAGCACCATTTATATAGATAAAACAGGTTGGATGGCGCAATAGAATTTACAGAATTTACAAAATTTACACGAATGTAGCAGAAGTGGGCAGAAGAATCTATTGTACTCAGTTATTCCTGCTAACCTAAAATCACGGAACATAACATTAAGAACATCGAAATCAGTGGAAACGGTGACGCTCAGCGCGTACTGACATTCTTTTAAACGAAATATTTGATGAAATTGTCAAAAACACGTCTCACGATTGACTCCGAAAAAAAAATTATTGATTGAGTTGACCGAGCGTTGCGGCTAAAATAAACGAAACCCTCCAAAGTAACAATCCGGACTGCCCTGGACCCGAAACCGATCGCGGATCTTACATTAAACAGCTACATATTTGTTCATCAGCTGCTATAAAATTGCATGGAGAAAAGGAGAGGGAATTTACTTAATTATTTAAAGCACTCAGTAATGAGGTTTTGATACAGAAAAGCGAGTCAGAGGAGTCAATGTTGGTGAAATGGGTATTAAAATCGTTACACAAGATCTAAAAGGGTCGCGAACACAATGAAAGGTCTAGATGATCTTAAAAGGATAGTAAAGTTAAGTTCGCCAAGTAAGAATGGGCTATTGATAGCACCTCTTATCAATTTAGTTAAAAATAAAACCCAAGCATTTCTCTACGACTATAGGTGTAGGTAGATTATGCAGCTGTAAACTACTTATGGAAGAAGGCAGGTTCTTGTTCGCATACCAGTTTAAATTTCTTAACGCGAATGGTAGGAATACAATTCATAGCGCGACTCCATGCAACTAAGCCATATTCCAAAATAGGACTAACAAGTGAGGTAAAGAGTAATTTGGTAATGTATGAGTCTTTGAAGTTCTTAGCCCAACGTTTAATGAAAGGTAATTCCCCTTTGCCTTATTAGCCCAAGCATTTATATGATTTCCAAAATCTAGCTTAGGATCCAATGTGACACCTATCATATATCATATGATTATGTATCATATGGACAAAGGATTGGAAAGATTTTCTGGAGATATATTATTACTGTTAGCATTGCACCACCTAACTAAATTATTTAGGTCAAATTAAAAGCTCTCTATCTTCAATAGAAAGAGCTGATTTAAAAAGCTTGACAACATCTGTCTACATGCGCATTTTAGAATGAAAAACCAGCTTTGGAAGATCATTGATGAATACTTTAGAAGAGTAAGAGGCTGATTTAAAAATTACTTGTTGTTTTCTAAAAATCAAGTACGATGAAATCCACTTGAAAAGGGAAGGTGGAAACCCGAAATGATCGGGTTTAAAGCGAAGTAAAGAATGAGAGACATTGTCAAATGCTTGATTACTATTTTTGAAACCAATACTGACATGTGTTTTGAATTCTAATAGGTTCGATAGGGTAGATTTTCGTTTAGAAAAGCCATGTTGTGAGATGTCTGTAATTGATGACACAGAATGGGCTAATTGATCTGTTATAAAAGCTTCGAAAATTTTAGCGATAGAACAAAGTTTTGCTATCCTGCTGTAGTTCCTGATTGAAGATCTGCTACCAGATTTATGTAGAGATAAAATGTATCGATCTTTCCACAAAGAAGGGAATATATAAATATCTCCCTTCCGCTTTTTTGCTCTTCATTCAATGCTTTAGAAAAAAGTGTTACAGTGATCGGATTTAGTTAAAATATGCGCCCTTTTGTTCGATGATCTGTTTCCATCTAGACGGCAACTTTTTAATACCTTCCTCGTAGAAGCCTCCCTCCTTATTTGCGAAGAATTCGGACAGCCACTTTTCATAAGCCTCTTTAGTTCAACTTCACACCACCAAGGGCATTCGCCATGGACAGGAACAGGTGGTAATCACTTGGCGCTACGTCCTGGCTATATGGTGGATGCGATAAAACTTTCCATACGAGCTCCCGTAGCTTCTGACGAGTCATCAACGAAGTGTGTGGTCTGGCATTGTCCTGTTGGAACACTACCCCTTTGCTGTTGGCCAATTCTGGACGCTTCTGGTCGATCGCCTGCTTCAAGCGGTCCAGTTGTTCGCAGTAGATGGTAGAATTCAACGTCTGGCCATATGGGAGCAGCTCATAGTGGATGATTCCCTTCCAATCCCACCAAACACACAGAAAAACCTTCTTGGCCGTCAATCCCGGCTTGGCCACTGTTTGGGACGATTCACCGGCCTTCGACCACGATCGTTTTCGCTTGATATTGTCGTATGTGACCAATTTGTCGTCGCCAGTCACCATCCGCTTCGAGAATGGGTCGAGTTCGTTCCGTTTCAGCAGCATATCGCAGGCGTTGATTCGGTCCAGAAGGTTTTTTTGCGTCAAATTATGCGGCACCCAAACATCAAACTATTTTTTGTATCCAGCCTTCTGCAGATGGTTTAAAATGGTTTGGTGACTAACTCCCATCTCCTGGGCGATGTCACGAGATGCTATATGCCGGTCTAACTCGATGTATTCCATGATTTGATCGGTATTTGTCTTCACAGGTCTTCCGCCGGCTGGCTTATCCATGGCGTCGTTTTCACCGGCTCTGAATCGTCGAAACCATTCCTCCGCGGTTCGAAGTGATAGAGTACCATCCCCCAAAACATCATTAATCTCACGGAACGTTTCTCTAGCGGATTTGCCTTTAACGAAGGAAAACTTTAAAATAGCGCGAATTTCGGCGTTAGTGAACTCCATGTTTACACGTCTATAACTGTTGAACGCAATATCCAAACTAATCATGCATAGCGTTGTTTTGTAGGTTATGTCAAGACCTTTCAAATTATGTTGCCAGATACGAGCTTTGTAGCGCTTTGTACATAGCCGCGAAATTCAAAAGACAAAAAAGCGAAAGGGAGATATTTGAAAGCCTAATATTTTGCTCTAACGAAGCATTGAATATGTTCGTCAATGGTATATATAGAGATTCAGCACAAAATTTAAGTACACTAGTAGGGATATTATCTGGACCACATGTGAATGAGCTTTTAACGCAAACAACATGAGCGGATATATCTGGTACTTTTACGCAATCAAAAGAAGGCATTAAGTTAGGGTAAATGAATATCTGCGTGGTTGAATTTGTGCTCGGCGCATAATTAGATTCGAAAAAAACTTACAACGAAATTGACTAGAAAGCAGAAAGACGGTTTAGGGCAAGGTGGTATGGATTACTGGCTTGTAAGACCGCCAAGACCGCCATCGAATAAGTATGCGGTAAGAACTGTTTAAGAATTTAAGCTCTAATTAGAGACTACAGCACTTCTCTTGGTCAATTTGTCACGTTCTCTGTTTCTGACTGGCTTTATCTGGAATATGTCTCAGTTTAAAGAATCAAAAGGAGCATCCTCGGAATTTTTCATATCAAAATAATTAATTTTCCCATAAAAGCTATCCTAAGTTTCCTTCTGACTAAGCAATTCAGAAAAACTGCAGTCGAACAGTCCAAGGTAGCGCTGAAGCCGCCGAAAACATGTGTAGAGTTTAAGGCTTTCTACCAAATACACTTTTGGTATATACAATAGCAGACTCGTTGGGAAATCTGAAGTACTAAAGCTGAAATTACCTTTTTTTTACGATGTGCATGTATAAATCAGGCTTTACATTTTCCAAGCGTCTCATTACCATTCGACTTTGAACTTGGTTGGGTCGATGCATCATGCAATAAATTTCATTGCTTTCGATTGGTAATCACTGGACGCGCCATAAAAATTGTTCTCCAATCAAGGGAGCCTCACATAAATATCTAATATCATTCGTTTCATACTTTTCATTTTTAAAGGAAGAGTTTTAGTTTTGACAACTTCTTCTCAGACGTCTGACATTCCAGGTCTACTACTTTGGGGTGGTCACCGCTTAAGCGAGTATAGTCGATTCAATGCGTATTGGATAAACCAAGTGAAGTCAGTTCCTTCTTCATTTGACCCTTCTAAAGAATTGCATATCTTCCTCTTCTTCCATCAGCATGTGCTGCAATGAATACGTTCAGCGCTAGAGAGTTTTTGCCTATCCGGACGAGAGCCAGCGTAGCCCCAGTCTCTTAATAAGCTGAATTATGTCAAGTAGAATAGGGATGATGAACGACTCGTCTACTCAAACCAAAGTAGCCTCTGTTGGCAAGTATGATATGTGTTGTATTTGAAGACTGTTATTGTTATTTATGCTGGTTCCTAAATAGACGAAATACTCTAAAACTTCTGAGTGCTTGTTTGATGAAAGCATATACATATATCCTTTTTATCTCATTTATTAATAGTCTGGAGAAAGCAAAACGCGAAAGGGCTCCAGTAACGAGAGAATATTGAGTTTACGGAGGGAATACTTCTCTGGCTTAGACGTTCCAACAACCGACTATGATGAAGTACGAATAGCGTATGCCTGTTTACAAATAACATTGCGGCGGGAGCTCATGGTTTACCAGCGGAGTTATTCAAGCGCCGAAGATCTTACAAAGATTAGAACCTGAACTCACGCAATCTGTGCCAATAATTCTGGTATAAACTACCTCAATAACGCATAAAAGATTTTAATAGGCGTATTGTGAGGGAGATTTAAGTCTACTGATGATCAGAGCACCTGGCAAATCTATCGTTGACCATCCATGTACCAAATCTCGAAAAGCCTTGTGAGCAAACTGTCAGCACACAGCACCTCTATGGCAATTTTGTAGCTGCATTGAACAGCTTGAAAAGCAGAATTTTTTACGCCGCTATGGCTGAGTTAGGAGTCCCTGTAAAACTTATGCGACAAATTAGCCTGGCTCTCGTCAATATAAGATGCTCAACCAGTTTTGGAAGCGACGGCTGTGAGTTGTTCGAACGAGGTTTTAGGCAGGATGAATTTTTCTCAAACGACTTCCGCAACTTAAGTAACTGGAGGAATCAATAACAGCTGCAGAACAAAATGGAGAAGGTACAATCTTTTATAAGAGCGTACAGGGGTTGTATGTAGGCCGATGATATGGATATCAAAGCCGTCTTTATCTTGTTGCCTGTTAATATGTAGAGCCTTGGGAGCCCAAAAGCTCAATGCATGAACGGGTCTCTTCAAGGTCGACCTCCAATCGTGGGCTCACTTCTCGTGAGGTACCGATACTATAAAGCTCATTTACAATAACAACAACACTATCGCAAAAACAATGTGACTCATTACTATGAAAAGGCGCCAGAATTCTTTAATTTAAACTATAAATAAAATTCATTTAATATAATATAAAATGTATGTATGTATGTAAAAATATCATACCACAAAGATCATTACAAACGGGTTGACATATTTGTGTGTGTTTTGGGGGAAAAAAAATGTACAAAGAGCAATGGAAAATGTACGAAATTACCAGGTTGAGATGTAAGTAAGTATGTACTTTTAGGCACAACTATTTATGCATAGGTATACAATGTTATCTCAAAGCACATACATACATACATATTTCATTTTTGTGGCCTTCACTGTAGATTCGCTTCAATTCAGACTTCTTTGCGGACGATGTCAAAGACTTGGGCGGCCGCTTATCACTTTCAGCGGCGGCTACTAGTGGTCACTTGGCTGGTGTGTATGTACGTATGTACGTGTGTATGTACAAGTAATACAAATCAATTGATTGTTTGTGAGGTGCATTGATTTATAGATGTATGTATGTACATACATATGTACTTAAGTTTCTATATGAATACATACACATACAGCTACATACATACATATCTAGAAATATACTTTTAAACAACAATGTAGACAATGTATCTGTATGTATGTATGTACTTTAAAGAAAAAAGCGCATCCATTTAAAAATATATACGTACATGTTTGTATGTAATTTTGTATGCATAATTATATTTAGCATAAACAAACGTAGGTAAGTATAATATTATATTTATGCCTGCCTCTGCACAGTTGCAGATAATCGTATGCATATGAGATATGTGCGTAGGTGTGTATATATTTTTAATATTTTTAAATTATCGATATTTTTTATATATGCATATGTATGTACATATGTACATATATATTTCAAAAGCGCTGCATCTTTTCGCAACATCACAACGCCAAGGCTTCATTTAGTACAAATTTAATGTTTAACGGGTATAGTATGACTGCAGTGGATCAACCGTCAGATATAATGTTTTCCTTTAATTTTATACGAGGTATACTTTTGTTGTTTAATCTATTGCTATGGGTGAGTAAAAATGGTTAGTGCAATGAACGCTCAAACATAAATATATTTATTTTAAATTTTTTTATTTATTAATTTTATTTTAAATTTTTTTGAAAATTTTTTTTAAATTTTTTTTTAATTTTTTTAATTATTTTTTTCTTCTACACCCTTCCTTTGCAGTTCGCAGGCCTCCTGATAGTTCTCACTGGCATTTGGCTGCAAACAGATTTTGAAAACTATTTAAAAATCAGTGGCGGCTATTCGATTTATGTGCCTTACCTTTTACTCGTCGCTGGTGGCGTCTTGGTTTTCGCTGCTTCATTGGCCTGCTCATGCATCGTCAAAGTGGATCCCACCATGTTGGTCGTTGTAAGTGTGGCAAATATAATATGAAAGAAAATTAAAATAAATATAAATTAAAAATTATATTCTCCATTTGACAGTATGGCGGTTTCCTCATCGGCGCCATGTTCACCTTAATATTAATGTCCATTTACATATACGGTTACAAGGACAATGTGATTACTGGCCTGCAGGTCGGTATCGAACGTGAACTAAAGAATTACGATTCATACAAAAGTATTATCACTCGTGGATCCAATACAACTCTAATCGATTACGTGCAAAATAATGTGAGTAAATATTTTTATTTTTTATTTAATATTTTTTTTTTTTTAATTTCACTGAAGGTAGCTGCACTTGGTGGCATTGATATTCAAGATCAAAATAATATATATTTTGTATTTCAACTTTTAATTGTGTTAATACGAGGTGTGACAATTATGTAATGAGACTGATTCCATAAAAATCGTATACGAGGTGTGTTCAAAAAATATCGCGAATTTTTTTTTTTTTCAAAAATTATTTATTTATTCATGAATACCTATTTTGTGCCCTTCAAAGTAATCCCCATGAGATATTATACACTTGTGCCAACGGTTTTCCCAATCTTCGAAGCACTTCAAAATATCATTTTTTTATCTCGATCAGCTCCTCCTACGATGCAGTCTTTATTTCGACAATCGTAGCGTAACGTCGTCCTTTCATGCGCCTCTTCAGTTTAGAGAACAAGAAAAAGTCACAGGGGGCCAGATCTGTTGAATACGGTGGTTGCGGCATCATTAGTGTGTTGTTTTTGGCCAAAAAGTCGCGCACAAGCGACTGTGAGCAGGGGCGTTATCGTGGTGCAAAAGCCAAATTTTTGTTCTTCCACAAATTCGGGCGTTTATGGTGGATTGCTTCGCGCAAATTGCGCATAACTTGCAGGTAACATTCCTTATTGACCGTTCTACCCTGTGGCAATACCATTTTCTCCACTTCATTAATTTTTTCATCTGTTGTGGAAGTGCTCGTGCGTCCGGCACGCTCTTCGTCGCTCACATCTTCTCAGCCTTCTGAGAACGTTGCTTCGGCCCAAGGTAGCTTCTCCGTATGCCACAGTCAACATTCGGAATGCATCCGCGCATTTAATTTCGTTTTTTACACCAAATTTTATACAGATTCTTTGATCCATTTTTTGGAATAGGTAAAAATCGAAGACCATCCAAAACACGTGCAAGCAAAGCAGCTGTCAGCAGTTAAGGGAACATTCAAAATGCCCGAGCTAAGTGACAGACATGAGTACCAACATAACGCCACAAAAAAAATCGAAATTCGATTATACGTAACCCGCGAAAATTCAAAATTCGCAACACTTTTTGAACACACCTCGTATTTCAAAATTATTCTACAACTCTGACATCCCCTTCAAAGTAGTCCCACCCTTGGTCAGCTATAAAACGATTCCAACGCGTTTTTCCTGCTTCGCAACATTTCCGGAACGCTTCGACTGGGACTTCCGCACGTACCCTCATCCCGGCCGCCTGGATGTCCTCAATCGACTCGAAAATTGGTTCGTTTCAGCACCGATTTCGTTTTAGGGTACAAAAATAGTCACAGGGTGAAATATCGGGTGAATAAGGCGGTTGTTGCCTTTAGAGGCCAAATACTGGGCCACGCTGAAGGCGATGTGGCACGGCGCTTTGTCGTGTTGGAAGACCCAGCTACGCGCGATGTCTGGACGCAAGCAATCTTTCGAGTACTTGGCGATTGTAGACTTGATTTATGGTTTGCTCCGATTGAAGAAATTTTTTAGAGAGCGCACACACTGCACATTCGTATGAGTTCGCACCTCGACTGGTCTCCTGCTCCGCGCCTCGTCTTCCATACTTTCACGCCCCTCCTTAAACTCTTTATGCCATCGAAACACCTTGACACGACTAAGAGCACTATCATCATGCACTTTTACAATGTTAGCGTACGTTGCCAAAACTGTACCGACCAATTTGGCAATTCTGAAGGACGGAGTCTGTTTAAGGAATTTGTATGACCGTGGTTTACTAGTTTCCATTCAAACTCATTTTGTAGTATGACGCAGCGCAAGCGGAATAACACAAACGTATAAAGTCAATGCGGAGTAGATCCAAAAGGACATTCACAGTCTCGGAAGGTGTGGTCCATAATGCTCCACTAATAGTGATGTTCTTTTATCAAATTTCATATCTATTCGGAATCTTTGAACCATCCAGAGTTGGAGTCTAGGCTCTTCAGTTTCGGTTTGCTTTCAAATTGACTTCTTTATTTATTTAAATATCCTCTGTATTGTGCAAGCAGTAAGGCATGACAGATGCCTTAGAACACCACCTCGGTTTCTCTTCGGCTTAAGCTAGAACTTGTTTTAGATATCTCGGAGCTTTGCAGTTGAAAGAACTAGAAAAGGCTTCAATATTAGGGTTCTCTTGATTTTCTCGAAGTTGTTAATTATTTAAAATCCAATCCCATTGAATCTCTCGAGACTTAATATTTCTTCAAAACATCCATGACTAATCTCTTACATTACTCATGAATTCTACAATCATTTTCCAGTTGGAATGCTGTGGTAGCAGCAGCCATCTTGACTGGCCGAAAGGCTCTCTGCCTAAATCGTGTTGCTGGGATCAAGGTGATAATAAGGATTGTACAGATTATCAATTGGGACGACTACATGAGGTGGTAAGTTTTATGGAAAATAAAGGAATTTTCTAAAAACAATTCCAAAAATAAAAAATTTTAATTCCTTTGCCTCTACTTTCAGGGTTGCATGCCGAAATTAATACGCCTTATTAATACAAACCTTACCAGTATTGGTGTAATGCTCTCCGTGTTGGCACTGTTTCCTCTGTTTGCGATGGTATTCTCTTATTCACTGGCATCCGCAACAAGAAGAATGGGCTACCAGAGAATTGGCTGAATCCCGTTGTTGATACTTTTGTTTTACGGTTTTACTTTGTGACATTTAGAATAACATAAACGATGTGGAAAAAATAAACGAATGTGAGTGAATGGACTATACTCAATTCCTACTTTTAGGTCCTCATCGCCTACCCAGGAACAGTGAGCTACCCTTGTGTGAGACGAGGTTGGTATAGAACGGCTAGGAGAGGTCAGGGTGCTCTCATCCTAATCAGTCTTTCATTTGAAAGGCTCAGCTGGTAGATCATCGCCTCTCACCCATTTTTTTTGCCCTTCAGACGTGCGAGAGCTTTACGGACTTTAGTACAAACGTTTATTCCATCATCATCATCAATTGGGTATTCGGGTTTAAAATACTAGGGGGCAATATTCAGGAAATAGTTCTGGTAGGGTAGTGTATTGAATCTGCATAATTATGATCAAGTCTGTCTGCTTTTAATTTTGCTACTTTAGCCAAGCAGCTGGAAATCGTTCAACATGCGGCTTGCACGCACTATTCCAACCCTGGCGCTTAACATCAATTGTAGTGTAGGGCTTGAAGTACTTGGATTATTGTATCTCCGAGCTAGCACTGATTGGCTTCTTCTCCTCAATAATCCCTTAGCCAAAGGACGGGTGGTATAAAGTTACTGGAGAACAACAGCACTTAACTTCTTCATGGATAGGTTGAAGTTTTATGGAATTGAAGTTATGGGTGCATTCTATCGAAAGCTTCAAGCGGAAATTACTGCTATCAGGAAAGCGGTAGGCACATTGCTTCGGAGTTCCGGGTTCTGTGAGACACTCCAACATTTACTCAGATGGCCAACCAGATTTACGGCCTTGAGTTTAGTCATATTGAGTTCCAAAATTGTGAAGAAATACACAGCGGTATTACTGGAAACTGTAATCCTGTATACCACTGTTTCACTAAGGCTGGGCAAAGCGAGAAACACATATTCTTCTTTGAACATACGGACTACTTTTGGACAGGTAACACTTAAAGTCATTCAGCTAGTGCTTGGCTAGCATCTCTAGTAGCGCGGTTGCGAGATATTTCTGGCCTAAAGTAGACCGTGAAAGTGCAGAGAAGGAGAAGCTCCAAGTTCATGATCTCGTACACGGCGAGAGTTCTGACTGTACATTGAGCGAGGGAACTTCACGTGAGGCTCAGGATTTTTCTGAATCTTCACTATCGTAGTTGTTCGGAAGAAGATATGAAATCATTTGTGCGCTTTCTTATGAACAATTTTCCATTTTCTTCGAAAAGAACATAATGAAAATTCACGCATCGCATTTGTCGATTAACAGCAAGGAAAATTCGTTAAATGAAGAGTTATCTAGGCAAACTTCAGGCAACTTGCGGTGTTTTTCTGGCGGAAATTGCTGCTATCGACACTTCTCCTTTCTCAGTTGTTCTTGAGAGGAAGAAGGATCTGAGACCTTAATTCATTTTCTTTACGAATGCCGCTCACCTTTGCAGAGTAAGTTGAAGTATTTAGGAGTGGCAGCCTTGGAAGACTTTGGAGCGCTACCTCGATTGCACTATTTTGCTAACTCCACACATTACTTTGACTTGCATGTTCTAAATATGGTCCCCAGTGGTATCACAGCCACTTTATCCTAACCTTACCGTTCAGGGTATTTTTATTCTTTGTGGCATAGAAATAGGGGTTTCTTATGTACGAGATATGTTCAAAAAGTATCGCGAATTTTGAATTTTCGCGGGTTACGCATAATCGAATTTCGATTTTTTTTGTGGCGTTACGTTGGTACTCATGTCTGCCACTTATGCCGACAAGCTCGGCCATTTTGAATGTTCCCTTAACTGCTGACAGCTGCTTTTCTTGCGCGTGTTTTGGATTGGCTTCGATTTTTACCTATTCAAAAAAATGGATCAAAGAACCAGTATAAAATTTTGTGTGAAAAAGGAAATTAAGCGCGCGGATGCATTCCGAATGTTGACTGTGGCATACGGAGAAGCTACCTTGGGCCGAAGCAACGTTTATCGGTGGTACAAAATGTTCTCAGAAGGCCGAGAAGATGTGAACGACGAAGAGCGTGCCGGACGCCCGAGCACTTCAACAACAGACGAAAAAATTAATTGCAGGGGCGTGGTGCATCATGAGTTCTTGCCACAGGGTCAATAAGGAATATTACCTGCAAGTTATGCGCAATTTGCGCTAAGCAATCCGCCAGAAACACCCGGATTTGTGGGTGAACAAAAATTGGCTTTCGCACCACGATAACGCCCCTGCTCACACATCGCTGCTTCCCTAAACTCAAGAGGCTCATGAAAGGACGACGTTACGCTACGATTGACGAGATAAAGATGGCATGGAAGGAGGAGCTGAACAACATAAAAAAAATGATTTTTTGAATAACTTCGAATATTGAAAAAACCGTTGGCACAAGTGTATAATATCTCATGGGGATTACTTTGAAGGGGACAAAATAGATATTCATGAATAAATAAATAAATTTTGAAAAAACACAAAATTTATGTCGGATCTCCTTGAAACCAGCAGCTTGTTCCTAACCTAACCAGCTTCCTAAGCTTCCTTTCCTACTCAGAATCCTCAGCTTCTAAGTTTGACAGGTTACAATCCCCTTTACGTGGTCTCGTGGTAAGTGAGTAAAAAATAAGCGCATATTTTATTATAAACTTTAATATAGCTTTTAATGATAAATAAATAAATAGCTTACAAACAAGCGTAATACTAATGAATTAACATATACATACATACATAGTAGATGAGTGCGTAGACAGCTCTGAATGGATCGGTTTTCATGTCAAAATTCTGTTTACCACACCTCGAAAAAAAATATGCTAAACATAAAATATAATACAATATATTAGAAATACACAACAAACATACATACACGTACATACAAATATGAGTGGGAGGTATACATTAGACAAACACATACATAACTTATGCCTAAATTAATTTTTTGCCGTATTACAAAGCAATGACAGATTGCCCTCGATGGCATTTAGGCGTGTCATCGAGAGGGTCTGTGGCGCATATGTGGACTGTGTGGCATATGTGGCGGGAGGTAGCGTCTTCAGACTGTCAGTCGGACGAAAGCCTTAAATATGGAATTTAAAATAATTTAAGAACATTTCAACTTTAAGAAAATACCATTTCAATCAATCAATCATCAACTTATGAACTCACCTAATTTAACAAGTATTGCATGCCAAATGCGCTTCTTAAAAACAAAAATGAAGAATACAAAAACACCGAGCAGTACATTGAATGAATCACTAACGACCCAAAAGAACATCTTTTTACGATCGTATAGTACGATGCTCAACAGTTCCATAAACCATGTGATGCCCATCACAATGAAGAGTTTCGTGTTCATCGCAAAGCGCGCTTTATCCACAAAGAAACGTCGTCGCATAATCGGTTTCTCCGCATTGGAGCTCTGCATGCGGAAAATTTCGCGTTTCACGCGATTGCAGTAGCGCAGCGTTAGTAGAAAGAGCACAAAGTTGATGAGTGAAAGTACACCAATCGGACCGGAGAAAAAAAGTAAATTTGCTGAGGCGAAAGTGCCATCTGTTGGAAAAGAAAGTGCACAGCTCGTATTGAGATGTTTCGAAAATAATTTGATATGTACTTACATGTGAACCAACAGCGACCCTGCTTGAAGTTTGGACGTAAATCCTCACTCAGCAAATCGGATTTTGCCAATGACACGGTAATCACAGTCATCACTGTGGGTAGTCCCCAGCCGTAAAGTGAGTAGAGCAAGAAGCGGCAGGTATTCTTTGTCTGGAAACCTCGCTTCTTCTTCGCTGTGCTGAAAAAAGAATGAGAAAACTTCATGAAAATGATGCACAATAATTATCGAGATCATTTCTTTCGATTTTTTGAAACAAATTTTATCTATATATATACGTATATATATGGCGAGCCTAATAAAATTAGGTTTCCACTTCCAACATTATGGAAAAAGTTTTTTCTAAACGCTATGGCCACTCGATAGGGAATCTCAACCCGGCTGTGTGCATTTCTGACAGAAAATCAAAAGACTCTTAAAAAAATTAATAAGCCGTTCAGTATAGGCTTAAGGCTCCACGTCCCTAAATTATTTATATAATTGGTGCTTCATAACCGAGGAAGCGACTGTCGGACGAGCTCCTCCTTCAATTTATTCCAACAAATAGAGTTTATTCGAAGCCGCCACGGAACGGCTGATGGATTTGTATAGTGAGCTTTTGTTTCATGTCAGAAATACAATCGGAGAAGTTGACATTTCCGGCCGAGTCGCCACCACAATTACTATAATTTTGAAGTTGGTACTTCTATTGACTTGGATTAAGATCATAATATAAACTAAAATTAGAAATGGAGTACCTCCAAAAATAGCATCAGTGATCCTAAAATTAACGCGGAAAACGCCTCTTGAAATTTTAGGAAAAAAGAGTGTAGTCGAAAGATCTCATCTATTATCTCTCTTAAAGCGGTAAATTGAGAAATCAATAACTGATGTGGTGAAACACCTAACTCCACCGTCCATACAAACCAATAGATACTCACCCCAGGCAACTGGTGCAATCGTTAGACGATTTCAATGCAATGCTTGTATTAGTCAAAGTGCAATCTCTAAAAGAGTATAATGAACTTCTAAGATAAATTTATCTGCCGGAATAGTCGAAACTATGAAATTCACCTTCACTTGAAGTGATGAGAGGAGTGCAAAACGATGCTGAGTTGACTTTCAACTGAGTAGACAGAAGAAGTCATAATTGCCATGGAAGTCTATATTGTCAACATTAAGAACACATCTTGGTATTCTCTGGGTAGGCACTGCTTACACGAAGTGAAGCCAGATCCTCCTCTACCCGCTCTTTTCACCGAAATGGCGGTCTTCCCCTTTCGCTGCTTCCACCACTGGGTACTCCTTACTCAAAGCTGGAGAGTGTTTGCGAATGGATGAAAGACATGGTCTAGCTAGTGCAGTCGGCGTCTTTTAATTTCTGAACTATGTAAATAGGGATGTAGAACTCAAACAGCTGAACGCTTCTTCATTTGCCGTTATTCGCCGTCGCCCATACGCAGAGCACCTTAAACTTCTACAAAACCTCTTCTCCCAAAGACTTCAAAAGCCGACTCGTATATTGCCAATGTCAACGCTTCCGCAATATAAAATAAGAAGGAGATAATGAGTGACTTGTGGAGTTTAGTTTTCGTTTGTAGAGAGAGAGGACTTTACTTTGTAATTGTCTACACAGTCCAAAGCCGAGTAGAGTGATTCCGTATTGGATTTCAAGACTGTCCTTGTTGCTGGTGTAAAAGCTGGCTCCAAGATAGACGAACTTATATACGATCTCTAAGTTATGACTGTAAACAATAAAGTATAAGTCAGGATGAGAGACCTTAAACACTTGAAACTTGAAGGGTGTCTTCTGGGTATAACGTAGGCGTCAGATAAGAAACGATTTTCCGAAACTTTGTATGAGACAACGTAAACAATGTTCAGTGTGATATAGTAATTCAAATAATAGATAATGCGTTGAAGACTTTTGTTATAATAAAAAAATAACGTAAAAATTATAGGAAAAGAAACAAATGTGTTTGCTTTCAATTTAACGGTCTTAAAGCTCAAAATATATCACCTATTAAAATATGAATAATTTTGCTAATTGCGAACGCTCTTCGACAGGGAGGCGGAAGGTAATGACTTGGTTAGAGCTCCGGAATATAAGTTGGATGCATAAGAACTCTTCAGTTGTGCTCATGGAGCTTCTGAGGAATTATTATCGAAGGGCATGGTCTAGCGTTGTCTTAATGAAACACGATTCCTCTCCTGCTTGTCGAAGCTGGCTGCTTCTGGGTGATTACTTTTTTAGGCGGTCAAATTGCTGAGAGTAAAGATACGATTTAAGAGTTTGACCGCAGGAGAGCAGCTCGAAATGGATGATTCCTTGAAAATCCCACCAAGCACATAACAAAATCTTCCTTTCCGCTAGTGCCCTTCAACCACGGACGTTTCCATTTAGCGTTTCTCTAAATAAATCATTTTTCATCACCGGTCTTTTTTTGTGTACCCAAATCTGTGTAAAAACTGTTTTTTGTGAAATTTCTGACACGACGATTTCCATTCCTTTATCGTCATTTTCGACAATTAGCCTTCAACATTAACATCGTAAAGCATCTCTTACGTCAAAATAACCCAATCGAAATCGACAACCTAAAATTATGCATGGCTGACTACTGAGTTAAGTGACCGAAAATTCTCTCAATATCTTTTTTAGCACAAAATATCATCATTTTAACGACATCTTGCGTAATCCAATCTCACTTATAGAACGCGAGATACAGACCACTAAAGTCATCTATTGCAAAAATAATGAGTGACCTTTTACTTGACCCAATATGATGAGTTCAGTTATACGAACAGTTCAAATGATTAAATGCATAGAAACGATTGTTGACGATACATGAGGCTTTAAAGATGTATTGCTTTCTTGTTTCTTAAGAAAGTGCTCTTATACAACTTCTCCAGTCAAGACAGTCGTTACCCGAACGGATAACCTTATTTTTCTAAGGTGTAAGGTGTACAACTTTGCTTCCGCCGTTTTTTTTTCCAAAATGAAAAGCTTTACTGCGAAAAAGTGCTTACAGATATATTATTCAAAGTATTGTCCTTCGCTAGCGACAACTTTCTCACATCTTTCCGACAATTTTCGGTTCCCGGCTCGAAAAAAGGAGTCCTCTTTTGACGCTATCCATGAAGCAATCCATTTTTCCAATTCTTCGAAGGATTGAAAATGTTGATCTGCCAGGATGTGTGCCATCGAACGGCATAGGTGGAAGTCAGAAGGGGGGACATCTGGGGAATACGGCGGGTGGGGCAAGACTTCCCATTTCAGCGTTTCCAGGTACTTGTTGACCACTTTTGCTCGATGTCCCTCGGTTTCGACTCGTACGGCACCCAGTTTCCTTCTTCCTGAATCATGCCCAGGGCCTTGAGACGTTTTGAAATGGCTTGCTGACTCGCTCCCAACGATTCGGCAAGCTGTTCTTGGGTTTGGCACGAATCTTCATCAAACAATGCTTCTAGTTGTTCATTTTTGAAAGTTTTTTCTCTTCCACCACCATGTTTGTCTTCGACATCGAAATCACCATTTTTAAAACGTTAAAACCACTCCCGACACGTTCTTTCACTCAGAGCAGTATCACCGTAAGTTTCTGAGAGCATTCGATGCGCTTCAGCTGCATTTTTTTTCGAATTGTAACAGAAAAGTAAAACTTCCGCAAATGGCGAGAATTAGGCACATAAACGGACATTTTCGAGCGTGTATAATACGAAAACAAGAACAACTGTCACTGAAACGGCGATGACAATTCGTTAGGCACTGTCCACACTCACTTTAAAGGCATTATCATCTATGCATTTCAACCAGCCTCAGCCGGTACAGCCACCTATCGGAAAACGGCGGAAGCAAAGTTGTACAAGGAGCATTTCGAAATTAGTCGGCAATAAAAAAATGCTTATTAACGAGACTATGAAATTTCTTTTTTTTTTTGTGTACCAAATATGAAAGTAAATTTCTCTTCCTGCCGGCTACTATACATAAATACAAATGCTGCTCACATAAAATACCTTAATAAAAACTTTATTTTGTAAAAATATATTTGCATGTATGTATGGTGTATGCTCTCTAGTATATGCTTGTGTATAATAAAAAAAAGCTCTTGGGGAGCTGCGCCCAAAATCAGCCGCATTTATTCTATCCAATTCGTTGCAATTTTTTTTTATCAATTAATTGATTTTATGAGTTATTGTATCGTCAATATTTGCTGCGACTGCATTGGGGTGCTACGTCCTTTATATGTATGAATACATATACGAGTATGTATGTTTGAAAATTTATATACCCAGCAAACTGTTAAGTATAGAAAAAGACTTCTCTCAGGCACCTTTTTTTTGGAGCTTTCACACTCATTGAGAACATATGAAGTGAAAATCAAGTATTTTGCTTGGGACTGGTCCACTAAAGTGGAGCGCTTAAATTCATGTTAAAAAGTGCCTTTCCGATGATTTTTTTTTTTTACATCAAAAGAGCGCCTGGCAGATGCAATAGTCGAGTGACTAGCAGTGCGTACTTCCCTTCTTGAATTATTTGGTTGAAGCATTTTGGGTATTTTGTTACGAGCAACGTTGTTTTTAATTACAATTTTATTAAAATATGTATTTTATTGAGAAACTAAAGAATATTTAATTCTATTAAGTTGTAACATTGACAAAATATAAACTGAATAATAATTTGTCTTAACTTAATTCTGGCTTTGCGAATTCGCCGCATTTAAAGCGAATTGTTTTTTCGGTCTCCATGAAACTGTCGTACTCATTTTTGGTAATGTTCCGAGAGTGCTCTCTGATCGAAATTTCATTCAGGTATTGGAGAGTTCTCAAAATGGTTGACTGGGTAAAATTCACATAGTATTCGCATACCATACTTATGAGTATATAATGGTATGTTCAGCTATTTATAAATAGTGGTGAATATCTGCAATGAATAAAGCAATTTATTTGTTTGTTTATTACCGTTTAATTGATTACCTTTGGTAAGTATCCAGTAAGTAAGTATGTATATGTCAATAAAGCGATAGTCGTGCTCCGCAGACACATGAGACCAGCAAGGATTCTAATGACTCCCACCCACTAGTCAAACTAATGTGTAAAGTTTGCAATAGCAACACATGATCCTCGCACTCCCAATTACACTAAGGTTGACGTCACTTGAGATTCTCTATACATGATATGATAGCGAATAACTGACATACCCGGCGATTGGAACCCAGAAAGTAATCTGCCCAATCGAAAGAATGGGAGATCCTTTGGTCTGTGCAAATAACAGTGGGATAAGCCTCCTCAATATTGCGTATAAAGTTTTATCGACCTTCTTGTGTGAAAGGCTAACGCCCACCGTCGACAAACTGATGTTTGGACCTTATCATTGTAGAAAATATATAATTGAGCAGACATTCATCATGCATAAAGTCTGGAAAAAGACCACTGAAAAAAGATGTACCCCACAAAATGTATGCCCTGTTTAAACTGACGTTAAGCAATGACAAAAGTTCAGTCGGTATGGGTCAGAACAGAGCGAAATATGTCCAGTCTTCACACAAACAGTCTACAAGTTCCTAATCACTGCTGTTATATGGCGCGGAGGCATATACGACGATATGACAAAGTCTCATGAGACGATTAGAAATTTAGCAGCAGGCTGTGTAAAATCAAGCGAGTAGAGAGTCAGCGAATACGCTGTCTAGGTCATGTAGCCCTAATGGATGAGAACATTGCAGCAGTAAAAGCTTGTGATGCAATATCCGTTGGTGGAAGCAGCAGAGTCAGGAGGACAAGGTCCTGGCTGCTGAAAAGTTGAAAGAATGAAGGAATGACACGCTGTAGTTAACTCGGCTATAATCGTGGTGACTCCACCGGTAAAGGAGAAGATAATTTTATTATTTGTTATTATTTGCAAACAACAACACTACTACTTGCGAAGCGTTATCTATAAAAAAAAAATTTAACTGTATCATCATCACTGTTGAGCAATGACCTAATCAATCAGTAAGCATGGGCTATCTACCCTAAGTTAATTGAATTGAAAAGATAATCTTCGCACATTTTCATAAAAATACATTCCATTGACTTTGTCGGCATAAAACTAAACGTGAGCTTCATAGTAAATTGTAAATATCGCATAGTCAAAATTGGTTATTGTTGTTGTTGTAACCGCAATGTTATTCCCCAAAGTACTTTTTGGGGAATGTTGCGTGAGTGACAGTCCTTGGCCGGATAAAAATCCGGGTCGTTCCGGTATAAAGACCCGACTGTCGCGGGAACTATTGGACAGGCACGCCTTACTGCGGGTAAATTCTTGAGCCCCTAACCCGCAGGGGGTAGTCAAAATTGGTCGATGAGGATGCTGAAAAAAAGAATATTATGTACATAAAAGTTGAATTCCTTTATCTGATTCGTTAACATCACAGTAGCAGCTGTACTGAGTAGGCAATCAAAAGGTTAAGTCCTCTCACGACGTACAATTATCAAGCACCCCCAGACGCTCGTTATTTCCGACCTGTTGTAGTTCAGTTTGCTAGCTTATAATGTCCTAAAGGATGGAAACACTCCAGCTTTCAAAGTATTCCTTGTTGTGTCCGCCTGTGGAAGCAGAGGAGAAGGATGATATCCACTCTGTTCCAAAGTTGTGGTGGAGAAGTACCTCGCCAATTGGTATGACTTGTGTAGTACAGTCTGCATAAGGTGGCTCGCTAGCTCAACTTAGAGAGGTCTGAGCCGAAATATCGAAGAAAATCCAACAATTGTAGAGTATGGCTTATCAAAAAACTGTCTTAATTTTTTTTTTGGTTTCAATGTGAAAAGTTGTAAAAAGGTGGACAGTTGCCATGTCATCCAAACAATGACGAAGATAAATAAAAACAATATCAATGGGGGCTCAATTTGAAAGGTAGACACATATTTAATACATTAATGTGATCAAATAGCTAAACTCAGAAGGATTTTTAAAAATATTTTAAGTAGAGTTTCGACCGATCTGATGGATTCCACAAGTGAGATCTCTCAGCAAACAAGTAAAGGAATGCTTCGAGTGGAGCAAGATAGCCGAATCGAGACTTTGCTGTGAAGAATACAAGAACTTGGCAGAACCTCTGCAGTGCGTACAAGTTGGGTTTGGTGAATCCAGCAATTCGAAAATTGATTCAGTTGAATTCAGGGTTAACATCTCTACAACAGATCTCTAGTTCTATTCACAAGGATATATAAAATTCATCGCAGTCAGGGAAGTCCTCTCTACAGGCGTAACTAAGCACTAAGTTCTTCGGAATTGTTTTGGACAGCAATTTGTCGTGGATGTATTGAGACGAGTGAAGAAGGTATCAGCAGGCTGCTGTTACTATCGCAAGCAAAAATAAGAAGGCAATATTAACTACCAAACTCTTACTGTAGCATCTATGCCGAAATTTTTGCTATAAAACTCTCGGAAAATCTGCTGCAGAGAACAGGCGGAGTACATATAATTATAGTAATCTGCACTGCTGGAAAAAAACGACCCACAGAGACTTATCGAACAATACCTGTTGTAACACAAAGTTATCGATAAACATTTATGGAGCCAAGGCTCCTTACCCACCATTTTGTTCGTCTACGTCTGAGACCCACCAAACACACAAACAAACGTCTGGTATGCGGTATTCCAAAGCCCACCTGTTAATTTCGCAATGGCCCATCATCCATCGAACTCCTTTGCAAACAGTATTACAACATTCAACTCATCCGATCTCTAAAAGAACCTTCTCTACAAAACATTACCTTACTTGAAACGTTTATAAAAGCGTGCAATTTAATTCATTTAATTTACTTCATTATTAGGCAGAGATAGCTGATGAGCTGGCTAAAGAAGATGTCCTGTCAGATCTAGACTTACAAGTTACATATGAAGCGATCCTAGCTAGGTTATTAATAGCGAAATAGAGTTAGAATGGAATAGAATTACTGACTGAGCATTGGCTACTGGCTTCGTGTGCTTATCATTAAGGGAAAACTACGCTGAAAACCTGCCAGAGCTCATTAGCTCGTGGTGAAGCACCTTGTCTTACCGCAATAAAGGAATTGGTGGAAAAAATTGTACTGTAGGACAAGTATAAAACACTTGCATGATGCTCAAGAATAACTGAGAATATTTCTGCTTTAGCCGAAAGTGTAGAGGAAAGCCCAGGATAGTCCATTTCTCATCGTTACACAGTATACGGTATAAAGACTTAGGTCTTAAGGCTTATAAAGTTCAATTAGCACAAGAATTTAAGCCGGTCGATAATCAACAATGTCGCGTCTTTTCTGTTTGTATACTTGAAATGGATGGAAATAATCCGGGATTTTATCGAAAAATCTAAGCTGAAAAGACCCATTTCCAACTCGATGGCTACGTCAATAAGCAGAGCTCTCACCTGCATCTGGAGCTCAGAGGACGCCAGGTTTAATGCTAAAAAAATCTCTCCATCCTTAACGTGTAACTTTTTGGTGCAGTTTATGGTAGAAAATTCAGCTAGAGTAACAATTATAGTAAATGGATTGCTCTATCGAGAGATGATTAATATTATTTTTACCGGAATTGCATGGTATTGATCTTGGCAACGTACACTTTCAACAAAACGGCGCTACGTGCCACACAAGCAATGAAACCATCAAACATTTAAGGGACTTTTCCCTTCTTCTTCCTCTTCTGGAGCGCGTTACCTCTCGAAGAGTTGATCGCAATTGGCTACCGAAAACTTGTGATTTAACACCTTGCGAATTTCTTTCTTTGGCTTCACGTAAAAGGTAAGGTCTACGCCAACAGACCAACGTCGATTCAAGACTTCAAAGATGAAGTTTGTGAAGCTATTGAGGAATATTAAAAATTGCATGAAAAGTATACGGTGGTGTACGCATAGATGTAGCGAACATTTGCCTAACATTGTTTTCCATTATTAATGGAGTTAAAGGGGAATCTTACCATTTATCTAAAATAAAATTTAAAAAAAAAAAATTCATTGAATAACAAAATAACACCTATTATTGGAAACCCTTCTTTACTTTTTTTACGTTATCGAAAATCACTTCGATTTGTTATCGACAAAATTTATTAAATTTCCCATTGCACTCACCCAAACGTCTGCCAGATATCGAAGCACATAACATTCATCCACGCGAATGCAGCCATGAGACAAAAGTAAATAAAATATCCTGAAAAGATAATAATTTTGCATTACGAGTACGTGTATGTGTGCAATAACTTTTAATTAGCGTGCAGCATAAAATATCAATTTTATTATTCCACAAATATGCGCCAGTCACTCACCTGAAGCGAAGCACATACTATCATTATTGGTCGGTATGAGTTGACCCAATGCAATACCCAGATAAGCCGCAAATAAATTACTCACTAAACAGATTAAAATTTTGCCGGGTAAATTACGCAAACGCGAAATGGATAAGTACACGCCCAGTGTTAGTGCATAGAAGGAGCATGAGATCAACAGTCCGATGGGATACATTTTGAAACGAATCTTCTCATTCCCAACCACTTTCGAGTCGAAGCAGAGAAATGTGTAGAGCTGTAAGTTGGTTATAGGTTAATCTGTATAGTAATGACAATATAATATTTTTTTTTTTTTTGGTGTTGTTGCTGGAATGCTAAAGGAATTACGTACCAACCTTCTGTTCGCCAAATGTTGAATTGCGTATCTTTTCCACGCAATACTGATTGTTGGTGTAGTTTTTCGTGCTGGCTGCAACATATAGCGATCCATCATTGGTGTTGATGAGGTGCGCATCAGAACTATATAAATCGGGATTGAGAAGAAATCTTTGACAATCCAAGCCACGTAAAATACCAAACACTGAAAATGGCATGAAAAAAGAAGTTCAAATAATCCAACATTTTTATTAATACCAAATTAAATAAAATATTTATTCTATAAATTACTGTTAAGCTTTTTTTTAATCTTCGAATAATAGCAGTTGTCAAGTGGAGTGGAAAAGTCAATTTACTTCTTGTTTAGATTACGCGCTTAAGAATTCTCTGTCAAAACCTGTAACAAAGGAAAAAGTGTTGGCTCTAATTAATCTTATTAGATTCATGACTTTGACGTCAGTTATTACCGATAGACCTCCATTAGTAGAAGCCCAAAACTCCGATACCTATCACTGGTCACAATAGAGCAGTCACACAAGAGATGAGTCATCTTATACTCCACCTGATCATCCTTGCAGCTTCTGCAGTAGGAAAGCCTACAAAATGACCAGTCGGGACTCTCATTATTATCTTATACTCCACCTGATCATCCTGGCAGCTTCTGCAGTAGAAAAGCCTATAAAGTGACCAGTCGGGACTCTCATTATTATCTTATACTCCACCTGATCAAACCCTGCAGCCTTTGCCGTAGGAAAGCCTATGAAGTGACCAGTCGGTACTCTCATTATTATCTTATACTCCACCTGATCATCCTTGCAGCTTCTGCAGTAGAAAAGCCTATAAAGTGACCAGTCGGGACTCTCATTATTATCTTATACTCCACCTAATAAAACCCTGCAGCTTCTGCAGTAGGAAAGCCTATAAAGTGACCAGTCGGGACTCTCATTATTGTCTTATACTCCAACTGATCATCCTGGCAGCTTCTGCAGTAGGAGAGCCTATGAAGTGACCAGTCGGGACTCTCATTATTATCTTATACTCCACCTGATCAAGCCCTGCAGCCTTTGCCGTAGGAAAGCCTATAAAGTGTCCAGTCGGGACTCTCATTAAACTGGACATGTACATACCTTCTTTTTAAGTAGTTCATGTATTGAAATTTCCTTTTAGGAAAGGATTTGTGAGAATTTCTGGCAGATTGTAATTTTATTCCACCAGCTGCAAGTATAAAAAGAATAGGCTTGTTCGTGCCTCACTTCAATATCCCTATGACCAGGAATTTTCGCAAGTGCCGCTCTGATCTGCTTGATCACCTCCTGTAGGGATCGGCGACGCTGCAACAAAATTTTCGAATTTACTACCAGCGAGCCCAGTGTGTTTATTGATTGCTGCCAGATCGTCGCGTTTCTTGAGAGTACAACACAGCCGACTCTACCCTCAAGCTTTAATACATCCGTATATATTGTAATTTTAGGCTGCGGCTTGGAGTGTGGTAACTGTCTTCCATTCTTCATGGCGGGTTATTCAAGTTCTGAAGTAATTTTCAGTGATTTTATCTTAGAAGTGATCTCTTGAGTTTCTGGAAGAGCCAGAAGTCCGGCAAATACGGTGGTTGGGGAACGATATTCATGCAACATAGTTGAGTCCCCAAAGGCTTTCTGTAACATCCTCAGCGTTTCAGCAGCCGAAAACTCGTTCCGCAAACAAAATTTGATCGCCACCACGAAGTCCAGTGACAAGATATTGAGTCTTGCATTTAGCACCTCAAGAAAGGGAAAAGTTGGTGGAACAACGAGAGCAGACATAATCCATAGAAGAAATCCGACGATTTACTCAACCTTTGAAACGAGTCAGCGTAAAAGAACTTCTTTTACTCCTACAATCTCCATCTCTTAAATTATAAAGGAAGGTGAGTAACCTTACTACTTGTTGGTGTGAACAAAAGCGAGTGTTATTAACTAGCGGTAACTAGAAGTATCGTCTGAAGTTATTATAGGAAATATGACTTATTGATGAATAGTTGGTGTGTACTTTCTTCTTAGTCAATGAATGAAAATCAAATTATAGAAACGAATCACAACGGGTATCTACATGGAAGTACCGCTAAGTTTTAGTAATGATACATCGCACAGCAACAAGCAAGTGCTCCTACTAGAAAATGAGCTTTTGAGAGAAAGTATCCACCGCCATGTTGTTATTGTTGTTGATCTATCCGCAAATAAACAAAAGAATATTCCGCGAGTCTTTGGCCGGATAAAAATCCGGGTCGTTCCGGTATAAAGACTCGACTGTCGCGGGTACTATTGGATTTTAGACGCCTCTTACGACAGGCATGCCTTTCCATGTACAATATAAATTCTTAAGCCCTTAATCCATAGGAGATCATATGCTGATACATGCTAATGTCATGTCTAGGCGACTTGGCCTTGAAAGAGAGCAGCAGAGCAGATATGACACCGATTTGGAACCGCTGATGAAGGATCTCAAAATAAACAGACGACCGACTACAGAGCGAATGAAAGCAGAAAGTTGTATCGCAAAGGCTTACTAAGCACAAAGGAACACGCGGGAGCTAATATCCGGATGTTTTCATATCATATGAAAAGGCAAAGGTGATCGATGCTCGAAAAAAATTTCATAATGATCACAGTGGAGGGAACCTAGGCAGCCAGTAGATCTTAGAGAAGATAAAGCAAATGTTGCACTGGGTTACTGTCTGACGATAACCCAAGATCGCTGCTAAAAAATCAAAATATAGATGTCCAGATGAGGTCGTATTACTCTAATGCTAGAAGAAGTCAGAGAGAGAAGTCTTATGAACTGAAGGAAGAGCTAAGAGATGTGGATGAATCTGTTGGACCATACAACTGGATTATGCGTGACAAGATAAAGGCCCGATACGAAAAGCCGATGGGCTTGGTAGTATCTCAGGAGGGAGATAGAGGTTGCTTTATAATCCTCAACGAAATGTTTGTTCTCGAAATTGGAATGCAACTGGAAAGGTCTCCTTACAAGAATATCCGATGACTGAATAACTTGGCCTATAGAATCCAGACCACTCGCAGACTAAGAAAACAGATGAAGCTGTCTGACTCGAAGAGACTTACAACAGTGTGACAAAAATGCAAAGCACGAATCTTTCTTGGACTTGGCTGATATGTGGTCGCATGTGCCACAAAGCACCCGAAACAATAACCAAATTGAGAGGCGAATCCAGAGAGCAGTTCGTTTCACGTTTGGTGCCGGTCAGTTGGCCGTCTAGATCCTGAGATTTAACGCTTCTAAACTATTTAAGCCAAAAGCTCCCAACGATTGACACACTGGAAACCAATATTGCTGAGTTTATTTGTGAGAGTCGGAGGGATACTCCCTCCAAATTAGATCCGATGTATGGATCATACGCAGAGCAAACGCGGCCAATATTTACCTGAAGTAATCTTCAAACATCCAATATTTCATTACTTTTTTTCTTAATTTGCTATTCGAATTTGAAAGCTCTTATGAAATCAGCTTTTATGATTTAAAATTATATCAGTCAAGTAAAAAGTTCGTTCGGTTTTTATCAAAGAGTTGGCGTTATTGTCCATAGTGTACTATACGGCGCTGGAATCAATGCGCTAAAAGTTTTTCTTTCACAGTTTTTTGATTGATTGAGTCAGTACTTTGTGAGCGCTCGTCAAAGATGGAGACCAGCAAAGAGAAAATTCGCTATATTTTACAATTCTTCTTCGATCAAAGCGAAAAAGCAGCCAAAGCGACTGAAAACATTAATTTAGTTTATGGGCCCGATACTGTAAACGAACGTGTAGCACAAAAATGGTTTGTTAGGATCCGTTCCGGTAATATCGATGCCAAATATGCACCAGGTTTTGCTGTGTGTTTGGTGGGATTGTAGAGGAATCATCTACTACGTGCTGCTCTACTGCCAACAAATGGACCGCTTGAAGGCAGCACTCATCCAGAAGAGGCCATCTTTGATCAACAGAGGCGGAATTGTGTTCCATCAGTACAACGCCAGACCACACATGTCTTTGGTGACGCGCCAGAAGCTCCAGGAGCTCGGTTGGGAGGTCCTAATGCACCCATCTTATAGTCCAGCCCTGGCAGCAAGTGAGTACCGTCTTTTTCTGTCCATGACGAACGCGCTTAATGGTGAGAAGTTGGCCTCAAGAGAGGCCTGTGAAAATTGGCTCTCCTAGTGTTTTGCCAATAGGGACGCAGCCTTCTACGAGAGGGGTATAATGAAGGTGGCATCTCGTAGGCAACGCGTTTACGCACAAAACGGCGCATATTTGACCTAAATCGGATAAATGTGCACAAAGTCATATTTTGAAAAATCAATAAAAAAACCGAACGAACTTTTTACTTGACCTAATATCTGAGGTAAATATTTCTTATGTGTAGTATGCATGTATGAGTATTTAAGTGTATCATTCGTAGATAAATTTAGTATAATTTTTATTTGCTTTAATCCCACTTTATTTATTTACGTTAAAAATAATATATGCATATCTATCATATATACATATATACATACATATATTTAATAAATGTATACATTTACTTGTACATACATATGTATATTATAATAATTCATGAATAAAATTCTCCTAAAGAATAAGACTCCCTTCACTTAACATTGAAAGATTGAAAACAAACACACCTGGCTAAATAAATTCAAAATTCCTGTGAAATTGATGCGACCGCTAATATTATATTTATTTGTATTCAATAACCACGTATGCACTGCAGAAATATTATATATGAACCATCGTCAATCGAAATACCTATTGGAGTGCTCCTCCGTAATGCAGCTTTGGATCAACACATGCCTCGCCATCAGTTTGCTGTTGGCCGATTATTTTTCGTATTTTAACGATCGCAATCAGTACACGAAGTTATGAGGGACCAATAAGTTTTATATATACAAAATTTAAGAAACAGAAATTGAGTCAGTCAGTCAAAGCGGATTCCCTTCGAAACTTAAAAAAAGTATGTTCCAATGTAATTTTTTGTAATTTCCTGAAGGTGCTCCATGTAGTATTATGATGTTATGGGGAGGTGGAGTTTATGGGCCAGCCCATAGAACATCGCAATGTCAATCAGATCATCTATTTTGTATGGACTGTAGTTGGCTTTGGAAATGCTCTATGTCCTACTTCTAATCTAGTTAATTGTAAGACAAAGGAAAATGTTTTTGAGCACTCT